TCTGCCTCTTTCTTTGATATCACAGCAACTTGGGACCAGCTCGGAAAGGCTGGTTTTTCCAGAATGGGACTCAAACCTCCATCCCCCTTGATATTCTAACTACTCTTGGGAACAAGAGAACTGCTTGCTCTATTTCTCCACCACCACTCAGGCCTCTAGGTCTTCTCACAGCTGTGCCTAGTGGATGCAGGGCAGTCCAACACCTGGCTCAGGTACCACTAGGTCTAGAGAACCACTGCATACCATCAGGACGTAAAATTTCAGTGGACTCAAAACCAGACACTCAGCTTGCCACTTGAATGAAGGTAAGGGTGAATGCACAGATCAAGCTCACATAATGAGACGAGAAGATCTCTATGCCCTGCCTACTCCTTACTTTTTCAAGGTAAGGAACTCATTGGTAATGTTATCAAAGTGCATTTGGCCAGAGAATGTAGCAGAACACTTGTGCCACCCCCAAACCAGTATACTTCAGTTTCTTAGTTGCCCATGTAGCAGTTCCTGTTGCAGTTCCAGTTGCTCCTGTCTGTTAGAAACAGCTGGTCGCTGTGATGCATAGCTGGTCACTGTGATGCACATTGTATAAACCAATACCCAATTGACAATCCATTCTGCTTCTGTACTTCCTGCTTGTTTATCCTACATAAGCCCTAGCCCACCAGAGATCAGGGCCTGATATTCTGGGAATGATCCCAATCAGTTCTTGTCAATGTAAATATATCTGCCTCTAAATCCTGGGTGTCATTTCAGTGTTTCTGCTTTCTGTTGCAAAAATACTATTCTCTGTGCTTTGATGCTACATATTCTCAAGTTCAAATGATTATCTCCCTAAAATATTCACCCAAATACAAAGCAATAGTGGAGAAGCAGGACAGAGGGTGGCATAGAAAAGAGGAAAAGAAAAATGAGAGGCAGAGAGGTGGGCATGGAGCTGAAGCCCAGCGCTGATCAAGACGCTGAACCGTTGCCAGACTATGCTGTTGTTTTCTAAGGCTCCATTTCATTAAGACCAGGAGTTGGGCAAGGTTCCCTCCTGACCATGGAGCCAATATGCTTCTCTGTTATTGCTACCATTGAGAGGAAAAGAAAAAAAGAAATGCATTTGGCATGGTAGGTTAGACAAATTTACATTTCACTGTGGAAGGTTTGTGTTTGTTCAACTTTACTCGGTTTCAGTGTGTTCCAACTAAAGAATATTTCTATCCTTCTTCCTCATTGTGGTAGAGACAAAGAGGAAAAGAGAAAGGAGATAGGGAGGGAGAGGAGGAGTAAAGGATGGAGAGAATACACACTTTCCAGGTTAAAGGAGTGTTGCCCATCCTCCCTTGAAAGTAGAAAGTTTCACACATGAGAGCAAAGAGTTGGAATTTGGACTAAATTGTTTCTTGATCACTTGTCATTTCAAATGTATGGAGAAAATAAGGAGCCATGGTAGGTTAGATTCTTTTAAAAACAGAAAATCTTATATAAGACTGAAATCAACATAAGGAAGGCTACCTTGGTTCCTGCCCACAATATAAACACTTGTTTCTGAAATGCCAAAAAACCTTATTTTAAAGCAACTGCACTCATCACCCTGTTGGATGTCTTGATTTTAGATAAGAAAGTTAGTAGAATGCTTCAGGTTAGACCAATTGGCAACAAACAGCAAACTTCGATGATCAAGTGATTCATGGTAAGATTTATCTGGCACTTATCTGTATTTACCTGTGGGATAAATAGTCTATTTCAGCAGGACTCTGTATCAAACTGCACATGATAGAAAAAGAAAGCATAAACCGGATGGAATATAAAAATCCCATCTTAGAAATTGGCTTTAGTAAAGACTGTAATATTTAATGACAACAAAAAATCTAAATAAATAAAGCAGGACTGCAAAACTTACATAGAAATCAGAATCAATTTCTCAACCACCTTATCAGGGCTGATCCAAGCCCCAAGATAGAGTTAAACTGAGTGAAGTTAAGTGAGCTAGAAAATCAGATCCTCAGAGTACATGAAGCCACACTTCTCAATTTCTTATGTCTTTGGAAAAGGTCTGCTGCATTTGGAGTTATCTGACTTCTTAAAAAGTAGCGACTATTGACTTCATTTTTCTTAAAAGTATAGATAGAGTTATATACATGTATAGTTCCACAAATACACATTCCAAATAAATTAGGAAATGATATAATTAGTTTAGCATGGTGGTTGCAGTCACTTGAATAAAAATAATTTTAAAAGGAGGAAAACTACAACTGCCTGTTTCTGATTCTTTGACTAAACAATTGAAAAGACTCCGTAGAGATTTGCCCTATTAATGTCTCTGCTTTTCCTAATGGACTGTCCTCCATTCTGATAAAAAAAAAAAAAAGACCAAAATTGATTTGGTCATTTATCTGAGTTGTAGAATATCTCAGACAAGTTTTAGATTTTGTCTGCTCGATGTCCTACATAGCTGGAAAATGGGAACTTGTAGGTGAGGAGGAATGGAAAGAAAGAACAGAACTGAAGAAGGGGAAGAAAGACAGGAGAAAGAAGAGAAGGAGGTGGGAGAGGAGGAAGAGAAGAAAAGAAAACAATTACATTATGATACAAGAAAAAGGTGATGTATTTACACCAATCACCATGAAGAAATTGCCAACCCAATCCTTTCACCAAGTGCAGGACAATGTGCATGATTTAGATCCAGCTTTAAGCCAGTTGCACAATGAATGGTCCATAACCCAGATTGAATCCAAGCTATATGTTGCATGCTGAGTGAAAGGAATTCCTTCTATGCTCTCCCACACTTGAATCAAACTGAACTCCAAGTTCCTCCCATTTTTTTAGGCAATTCTAAGAAATGTCTGGATAATAACATACCGAGATTTACAATATGAATACATCTGACATTGTACATTCTTTTTATTTTAGTTTGTTAGTATGTGTGTGGGGTACCTAATGTTTATATTTCTTGTGGGAAGTTGGTACATGTTCATAGCACATCTTAATTCCTTCTCTCATCCCGTTTCCCTTTCTTTCCTTCCCTCTCCACACATCTCTTGATCACTTTCCCCTTTTTGAGGGGAGCACATGTTTGCAGTACACAATGCTTATATTCTTTGAGTGGAGCTGGTACACGTACATAGCACATCACAAGTTCTGTTTTTTTCATCCTTACCTCTCGCTGTCTTCCCCTTCCTTCAAATCCCTTCTGCCATAAAAAAGATAAACTTGTAGGAAAATGGGTGCACTTTGAGACCATAACTTTAAATGAAATGAAACATACAAGCTTAAATATCACATGGTTTCTTTTATATGAGAAACTAAGACTGTACATTCTTTTATGTTGATGTATTTAACTATGTAAGAGTTAATGAAATTTTTTTTCGCCAATATTCATGGTAGCAGAGACATTACAAAACAGAAGTGAAACAGAATTGGTATGAAGTCCATATCGGTAAGTTGACGAGAGACGTAAGGTCTTCATTTCATCTGAATATTCTCAGCAACTGCTTAAGTCGGCCATATTACTAGATGTGCACACCAAGTTCACCTAATCCTACACGGTTCTGTGCTGATGGAAAGCAGGGCAAAAAATGCTGAAGTGCATACTTCCCAGGTGGTTGTTTTTCTAAGCATTATGTTGGCTTCTGGAGGAAAAATTTGGTGAACAAACAGACATGCTCATTGGCTATACAGCTTTTACATCTACAAGGTAAGAGAGCCAATCAACAAATAAACAAATTGTGCTCAGTCTTGCAAAAGGAAAGTCCTGAGTGCTATGAGATCAGAGAGTAGGAAACCTTCATTTAGATAAGAGAGAATGAAGGCATCAATATGAAGGTCTGAATATCTCTTTTCAAAATCTTATTTCCCAACGCCTACTCAACATCTCAAAGAAGTGGCCAAAAAGATAATTTGAATGATGAGGGAAATGATAATTAATTAACATACTGGATTTCAATTTTTCTCTTGTTTTGAAGAAACATTTTTTTTTCCTTTCAGGTAGACAGAATGCAGGATTCTTTTAAGGAAAAAAATTAACAACAAAGAGCAGACAGAATCTTGCAAAACTGGAAGTCAAAATGAGGACCTACGATTAAGTGGGAAAGTGGCCAAGAGTTAATTTCTATCCTTAGATGGGACAAATTCTCCTTGCTCATGTCATGATGAAGCGACATCAGGTGAAGGTGGAAGCAAATGCTTTTGGTCTTTATTAAAATTCTCAGGAGCCCACATGCTGGGTTTTTTTAAAATTTTATACTTTTTTTGTCTTTTGAGACAGGGTCTCTCTGTGCAGTTCAGGCTGGCCTTGAGCTCACGTTGTAGACCAGGCTGGCTGCCAACCCACAACAATCCTCCTGCCTCAGCCGCCTGAGTGCTGGGATTATAGGCATGCACCACACTGGCTCCACATCCTGTTTTAACTCAGATTCTGAACTCTGCTGCATAGCTAGACTAAGTGCAGGTGTCCCTTTCATGGTCTTTGGGTCTCTGTGCTGGGCTGGTTACTACTTTTGTAACCTCTTCATATATCACTGATGTACTATAAGGCACATTATGCACAAGGGTCCAGCTCCTGATGCCTGATGCCTCCCAGGACTACTTTGCACTGAGAAGTTCCATGCAGGAAAAAAAGTATTAGAGATTTCAGCCCATCTTACCTAAAGAAGAACCAAGACTAGAAAAAAGGCTTTTTGATTCTTTGTCTCAAATCCTTCTGAAAGTATTTACTTTTATATCTGTGGGTAGTAGAGGAGAAAATGTAATTTCTCTTTTCTAAATTTGAGGTTTGTAAAATATTATGTGCCCTTATTTAAATTGCAGTGTCACTTTATAGAATTTATTTGTATTATTAAAAACTGACCAAGTTAAATGACTGGTAAAATATGTGGTACAGCATCAAACAAATGTAGAGACATTTAAATGGATTTCCAGTACCTGAAATCACAAAATGGTCCCTGTGCATTAGGAAATGGTAAGGGTTGATTTACCACTGTGAGAGTCATTTTAAACATACGCAAAATGCATTTATCCTAATACAAGCTGTAAGTAGAAAACTGGTTAGACTAAATGTTTTATTAAACTGACTTTATTAAGTGCTCTGAGAACCCAGGATACAGAATCACAAACTTGGAACTAGGGGCTTGCTACTTTCTCAATAGCCCATTAAACAGGTTTGACTTTTAAAAACTGCATTCCAGAGAAGCACCAAGAAAGAAAGACAAAATAATAATCAACCCAAATCCTATGTAGAGAATAGACAAGTTACCAAAAACATAATGTAGCTTGTACCAACATAGCCCAATTTTTACAAATGATCCATTAAATGAATAAAATATTATCATAAGGGGGAGCAGAATCAATGTAGTGTTAATATATCAAGCCATTAGTTTAACAAGTATGTATTGAGTACTTATATACCCAACACTGCTGTAAGCATTAGGGATAAAGTCACGAATAAACTGGCTTAAATACAGTACCAGTAGTTTATAATAGACTGGCTTATACAAGAAGAGCTTATATAAGAGTCACTAATAACAACACCAAGCCCTTCCACGGTGGTATCTACCAGGTATTGTTGTAAATGTTTTGTGCATATTAATGTGGTCGATTCCCACAACAGTACTACATGGGAGATAATGTTATCAGCCTGGTGTACCTCTCTGTGGGAGAAGACCAGAGCATTTTCCTCCCACATCCCATAACCAGTTCCTGCTGGCACTCATTGCACATGAAGGCAGACTGACTTCAAAGTGTCTTCTGTTGACTGTCATACTCAGTTGTCTCCTAGAAAACAGGTAAGGAGTACTTTGGGGGTGGTAGGGAAAATACTGATGATGATATATGATGGATACTGTTACACTGGCATGTCCCCCAGAAGTCTCGTTGCTGAAGGCTTCACTGTTGGTGGACTTCTGGAAAGTGTTGACTCATGAGGGCTCCAACTCCACCAGTGGCTTGATCTATTGAAGAGATCAAATTTGATGGGATTATTGGGAGGTGGAAGACATATGAGGTGGAGCCTATTTGAAGGAAGTAATCATAACAGCATGCCCTCGGGGGTTTTCCTGGTCCCTGGTCCCTGGTCCCTTCCACTCAGGCTCTTCTCCTTCCCTCTCCACTTCCTGGCTGCCATAAAGTGAGCAGCTTTCCTCTGCTACATCCTTCTTCTATGATGTTTCTGCCTTGCTACAGGTCTAAAAGCCATGGAACCAGCTAACCATAGACTAAAACCTCTGAAACCATGAGCCAAAATAAATATTTTTTTCCTTAAAGTTGATTTATGTCAGGTACTTTGTCTCAGTGACTGAAAGCTGACTAATACAATGTCAAAACTCAGTTTGAAGGGTGGAATCAGCAAAGGTTTCCTAAAGGAAGAAACTTGAAGCCATAGATTGAAAGTTACGAAAAACAGAAAATGAGGGTTGCTGTAGATGGAGGCGGTAGAGGGAAGTAATTCCACCAAAGCAAATAGCAGGTTCACAGGCCTGCGAGAGTAAGACAGCTTGGCATATGCAGGGACAGGAAAAACAGCGTGCCTGAATCCCTGAAGAAGAGCAAAGCCAGGATCAAGGAGACACAGATTATGACAGCGGAGATGCACTCATGCTTCCCTATTGCCGCCTACATCACTCTTTCATTTTTGGACTTATTGACTCATTCAACTATTATTCATTTACTATAATGCATTAGCCACTCCACAAGAGCTCCATCTACAATACCCCTGTCCCTAAGATGCTTTTTGTACATGAGAATTTTTAAGGATATGAATGTTCAAAAAGCACCATAATTTTGAAGATGCACTACAATACTGTAAATATGTTATTTCATCCTAAATCAATCTATAATTAATCTATATAATTAATGCTTAGCAGCTCAAAACAACAAAGGTATACTTTTGAAACTTACAAGAGTCATCCTAAAGTTTTTTCTGGGGAAAATATACAAAAATTATCAATCATTTTCTGAAAAGCAAAGATAAACAATTTGAGGAGAGAACCAGCAGATAATAAAATGTATCCTAAAGCTGAAACTTGAAAATAAATACTACTGTAAGAATACAACTATCTCATGACAGCTGACCTGAAATTAAAGTCAGTATTTAAGGAAGCATTCAGAACTCATCCATCACAGATAAAAACAATACTATGTTTTCATTTTTAATCACCACTAAGAATGCACATTTTTGTAGTTTTGATGGCCAACTGTACTTTTATTTCTGTAAATTGTTAGTTCCCTTTGCCTGTATTTCTATTACTTGAGGTTTCATTTATGGATGTGTTTGAAGTCTTCTGGTAGAAAGAACATTGTTTGCTAGAATTTACTTGTTGCCCATGAACCTAGGCATTCATTTTAATTTGGTCATACACCCAACAACATCCCCTCTGCTTACAGCCGCCCTGACCTTTGGTGCACACACACATGTACTTACACACACACACTCGCTTGTCGGTATCACCACTCTTTGTCATCCCACAATGATAACAAAGAAGAAAGACAACAGACTCAGGCAAAACATTTCAGGTCCTTCACTAGCCAAGTCACAAATGCCACAAGTGACATCTAGTCAACATAGCTTCCTTTTATGAAAAAAAAAAAAAAAAAAAAAACCCTATACTGCCTGAAAAAATATCAAAATTAGGACATTTCTAAAGTGTGCCAATTTAAAGAAAAATTTCCACTTCAAAAATATTTGTACTTACAATTTCACTTTTTCCACAATCCATCTTGATGACTCAAACATTGGAAATCATACTTTATTCTCCCTAAAGATTATTCCCGTAAGATTCGATATCTTAGAGTAGATATGTTAACTAAGTGGAGAGCCTGACCCCGCATATCTAGTATCTGAATAAATAAACAAAGATGTCTCAGAGCAATGTGATCATTCACAACACTAAATCCAACACCTATAACTCTCTCTTTCTGAGTTGATTGACTTCGGTCTTCAAAGATCCTCCAGGATTGGGTACCCACCAGAATCCTGGATTATAGAATGTGGTATATTTATCTAATGAAATATGAGCTGTGGGTACAATGAGCAATGCCTGGCCACAGACACCCTATCCATCTGCTGAAAATAATCAATCTTTAGAAAATAGAAGTCCAGGGAAACGTTAAAATTGGGTACAGGCCAAGGATTAACAAGAGGTTAAGGGCAGAACTGCAGTTATTTTATTGACTTGGAGTCGGTCCTTGGGTAAAGGATTCGGTCATTTACCATCAATTTAAAAAATGCATCTGTCGTGAAAAGGTTGGAGTTGCAGCCTATACAGCACCAGGCAAGTTACCCAGAGGTGTCCCTGGGATGGGAAATGATGCATTTGCAATGATAGAGCAGCATTCCTATTCCTGATCAAACTGATGTTCTGGGTTGGCCACTTTTGTTAGAGGACCTTCACACCAGCCCATGGCCCCACATGATACCCTCAATCTGAAAATAATATTGGTAACATCTGCAGTAGTAATAGTGATGGCATGGAACATTCATTTGTGTGTTTATGATATGCCAGGAACTCTCATGGTCATGTTTCAAGTAAGAAAACTCATTTCGTTCTCCTCACAACCCTTTGACAGAGTTCATATTACTCATACCTAATGGACTCGTTAATAAACCAAAGCTCACAGGAGACAAGTCACTAGCAGTCTATGGAAACTAAGGTTGCAACTCAAGCTTCTGTGACTCTGAACCCAGCCAGCCCTTACATGGTGCCACAATGCTAGGAAGGCAGGCAGACAGTCTGTGTCCTGGTATACTCCAATGTCTTTACCAGGAAAACACTCTTTCCCAGCTTGAATAATGCCCAACTCAGCTAGCAGAGTAGGACATTAGTTACTGGGGTGGGGAAAATGTTTCACATGGCTGGGAAACCTCTTGTGTACGGAGGCAGGGAAGAAGGTTAAAATCCAAAGTCGGCTCTCTTTAGATGAGGGAGCCTAGGAGGAAATGCAAATAGCCATAGCCAGGCATCTGCCTTTCTCCCAAGATTTTCCAGTGAACTGACTCCTGAGAAAAGGTTCAGGTAGGAAAGTATGCAAAAGAATAAAAGTGTGCAAAAGAATAAAAGTATGCAAAAGAATAAAAGGAAAGCACGAACACAAGCTAAAGCAACAATGAGAATCCATGTTGCTGTGGACTTTCTAGGTTTCTAAGTTTCATTCTGAATAGTATCGGCCTAGGCTCTTGAGTCAGCTTGACTTTGGGGGCAACAAGAGTCTGACTTAAACTTCATAGCTACAAAGTCAAGGTATGAATTGAATCAGTTGCATGGGATCATTGTCTGGATTTGACTAAATAATGCTGTGAAGGATCTCAACCATAAAAAGGATCTGATCCAGGAGTTATCAGTAGCAGTAGTAGCAGGGGTGGTAGTGGTAGGTTACTGGTGGTGGTAGTAATGGTAGCAGTAGTGGTAATAATGGTATTAATAGTAGTAGTAGCATTAGTAACGTGCTCCTTAGGTGCTCCCCTTAGATGCCTTGGTGCAGAATGCAGACTGCTATTCACGTGCTTTACAGATCTGGGGCTCACACCCTCTGTTGTAAGCACAGTTGGCTGGCCAGGCCAAGCCAGGTAGGAGACAGGTGAGTAGCAGAGAGTCAACTCTCCTGTTTGCTTTTAAAATTCTTTACCAATCTTGCCAAGGTTCAAATATGGCCAAAAACAAATGACCTTATTTTAATCTTTTTCTGTTGTTCCTGAAGAAAAAACACAGCTAATCTCAATTCTATTTTTTTTTCTTTGCAAAAATAATAAACAGCTCCTGGTTAGCTACCATGTCAGCCACCCACCCTCAGCTGTCGGATGTTCAGGCCGAGGTGCTACCTCCTCTAAAGATTTGTTTTCTCTGTCCATTATCAGATTACCATCTTCAACATACTCTCAACTGTTCTCATGTGCATTTTCTTAAAACCAATTGAACAAATAGCTGGAAAAAAAAAATAGAGGCATGGTAGGGGGAAATGAAAGTTGGTAAAGTGCAGTCCATAAAACCAAGGTTGGAAATAAAGATGTTTAACTTAGAATGATAGTGAGGGATTTATACAGAAGTAGCAAGGATCAGAGCTGGGATAAAAGTCTACTGGGAGAAAGTAAAGAAAAGGAGTCTAATTCTTAGAAGCTGTCTGGGTTTCTGGATCCTAAGCTGTCTTGTTCACAAGGATACCATTCCACTTGGATCCAGAATTTCATTGTGTTTCTCTAAGTTCATAAGCATTGCCTTCTAATTATATTTGTGCAAATGGAGGATCACCACCAAGGAGTTCATCTATCAAAACAGTGTCTTTCCAAACAGAATTCTCAAGGATAAATAGCATAAGCCAGTAAAAACTCAGATCAGCAACATTATGGAATCATAATCCAAATAAAATAAACCCAAGGGGTTTCCTCCACTGACCTTGAATCACAAATTATATTTCTTATCCCACACACTGAGAATTTACCCAGTGCAGCCCTAGAGATGAAGCGGAAGTGTCAGCTTCAATATTAGAATTTAATTCTACATTTCCTCGGGCGGATCGCTAATTCAAGGGTTCAGCATGCCTGAATGTTCTGTGGTTGGGTGGATTTTAGTGGTCTTTTAGAGATTACCTCAAATGCAAAAATCTCTCCATACCAGACCAGAAACATTTCAAAAGAAAAGTAAAACGTCCCTGCTGCTTTAGAATTTAGCTTTCAAGCTTTACCATTACTAAAAAATATCAAGACTGTGCCAGGTTTCAGGGATCGGAGATGCCTTATTCCTGCTTTTCACATGAGGAGTCATCAGCCAAGTATTTATTGAGCCTTTGAGTCACACATAGCAATGTGCACAGGCAGTTGGAGAATACAAGAAAAGGAGGCAGCTCCCTGCCCTCAGGGGGCTTACAGTTTAATTGCTAGCCCTTTGTTTCTTGTCTTCTGCTTACTATTATTATCTCCCCTGCGTGGACAGTTGTTTGACATACAGAAGAATGTCAAGTAACAGAAGAATGTCATAAGTTGACTCATTCGAGTTTCATGGGATGACTTCAGTCACTGACCATGGGGTCCTACTATGTGTATGCAACTTTTTATGTAAAGTTGAAGGGTGTTTATTTTGTAAGGTGAGGGACATAGATGCCTATAGAGAAGGGACACGAGTGAAGTTGAAATCCATGAGCAAGAACTGAGGAGATGGAGGTGGCTGAGCAGGAGCCAGTATGGCCTGAGGGAGGTAATGGTCAGGCAGCTGCATGGAGACCAGAGGAAGAAACATTGGTTCCAAGCAAAGAGGGTAATAGATGCAAAGGCACGCAGCAGAAGGGTCGGGCTGTGCAAGGGCCGGTCAGCGAGTGGGCCAGCTGCTCTGTTTGCTTTGGCTGAGACCAAGCTGTGCGGAGATGCTTTTGCCCTGAACTTTCAAGTGTGGGAAACAGAAAGTGTTTTGTCCCCTTCGGAGAGTGTCCTATTTTCCACTCAGGACCAATTTGCGTGCCACAGCCCTGACTCCACGATCCTCCCTCAATGAACGTCTATGTTCTCGCCAGGAAGGGCAGCCCTTGCTAAATGTTATGGTTTGGAAGGATCCTTCCCAAGGATGGAAAACCGAGTTAATTCAATTAAGGCCCGGGGTCCTGGGCTTTGAACCAGCCACAGTTTCAATTTTATGAGAGGATGAAAAGTTAATTATTTGCTGGGTTTGAATGAAATCGACTCTGAAAATCGCTTTGCAAAAGAGTCATTTCCACCTCAGCTTCCCTGTGGAAAATCAAAGCAGGTTGAACCAGGGTCATAAAGAGAATCTAAGGAGCAGGGGTGTCGTGATGGGGTTCAGCACCCCTTCCTCCTCTGCTTCCACACTACATTCAAGGGGCTAGGTGGGACCTGGAAGGGGACCAGGCCAGCGTTTACCCTCAGAGCCACTTTGAACAGGAAAAACATATAACTATATAAGCTGAATTCGGAAAATCAAGATTTTAGTGTCCCTTTTAAGGGACAGCCTCGGTAATAAGTCATCTCATGAATTTGTTCCAACTAGCAGCTTTGTTGTCGCTTTAATGTAAGGTTATTTAGGGTTAATATTTTAACTTTAAAAGTTATGCACACGTGTATGTATGTAGATATAACAATAAAACTATTCTACTGATGGAGTAAATATTATAAAAGCAATATAACCCGTAAGTTCAAGGCCAAGTAATAAGCTGATGCTTTCAGTGCATATATATCCCAAAACTTTTAAAGTGTTTAAACAGTTTAAAGCATAAGGCCAAGGAATAAGCTGATGTTTTCGGCACATATATTTCCCAAAACTTTTAAAGTGTTTAAACAGTGGCATACACAGGCATTAACACTACACATAATAAAGCACAGGTGTATATTAAAGTAGGTATGCTTCTGAATTTGTTTGGGTTTTCACAATGATATATCATAGACTTATTTGCATGTAAACTGGATGATACACATGACATTTGGAAAAAAAAAAACAACAACTCTAGATTTAACTGAGAAGACACCTCAATATTGCTAAGTCCTGGTAAAAATACAGCCAATCTATGGGTTGATTCTGAGGTTTAAATAGAACACTTGGCAATGGTCTTGGTATCAAAACAGTGTGTGTTCTATAAGTGTTAACCATTGTTTTAGCATCCACAAACATAGCTTTATGTCTTCCTTTTTAATGACAGCAAAATATTCCATTTTCCTTGGGGACATACCACAATTTATTTATTAGCAGGCCCTTCTTGATAGACATTTAGCTTGTTGTAACTTCACTCTCATAAATGGATCTGCAAGGAATATTCTATATATACAATTTTTGCAACTTAGCTATAGATAGAAGAAGCTGTAAAGAAATATTTTCTGAAAATAAGAAATACCATGACCCCCTTTTCCCTCAAAAGTTATTTTAACCTAAGTAATAAATTTACTTAAGTAATCCGTAGGAAAATGCTAGAAATACTATTCCAGGATCTGAATCAAACATTTGCAAATCAACATTCTCCTGGCCAGAAGATTAGACTGAAAGTAAAGAGAACTCAGCTCCAGCTCAGCTCTAAGGCAACATAGCTCTAAACGAACAACAAATGTCCAAAGCCTCAATTTTTTCTCTTGCATAAAACAAACTGAGTAAAATCAACTAGGAGATCTCCACAGTTGACTGTAGAATTCACGCTTTATATGTGCTGCTTGATGGAAACTATACCATGGAGGATATGAGAAAACCGAAGCTCTAAAAGAACAGGACCTAGAGGATAACATGATAGTTTGCATCTTTGCAATCAGCTCTAATGAAGTGAGATGAAATGCAGTACAAATTGCAAAGTTTCCCCTTTATCCCCATGCTAAACTCTGGATAATTGATGCTACCTCCTCTTCCAGAATACAAGAATGACAGAAATTCACAAGCCTGGAAAGTACTTGGAAATATCTAGCAAACAAATTATTGAACCTTACCACATATATGAAAAACTTCAAAGAGCTGGGGGGGTTTTGTAAAAAAGCTAAGATATGGTTTCTTGCTTTAGAATTGCTACCATGTGCTGAGAGAGGAAAAGCAAGCCTATTGAGAGATCTCTAAAAATAAAGTTTGATTGTTTACGAATTTATAAACTTCCTTGTTTCCAAATGATTTATGACAGGTTAGAAAACTGCATATAATACCAAAAATGCATAGAAACAAGGAAAATAATACTAACAAAATGACAAATACTGATGTAAGTTTAAGCTAGGGACAGTATTGGAACACCAAATTCAGTCAATAAAGTATGTACACCACATCTTTAAGAATTCTGGCAATTAGTAAGAAGACGGGATTGACTAGACAAGGAGAGGTAGACATACATATATTTATCAATGTTATTGGGATTGTAATGGTAACACTTAATGTGTCCATGGACCTTTCTTTGTGACGTAGCAGGTGACATACTAGGAATTTTACAAGTAGATTAATTTACTTAATTTCATGCTAAACTATGAAACAGATAGAAACAGGCAGAGTGGTCGAGTAACTCACCCAGCTAGGAAGCTGTAGAACTAGGATTCCATTCCTGGAAGTTGTCTACATCTCCATTGTTGTCCACACCCCGTTTTCACAGAAAGAGTCACTAAACTTTTTTGTATTATCTCTGGGTAGTGGGAAAAGGGAGAACATTTTAAAAGATTCAGGCCAGCCTCTCAGGAGGTAGGAATTGTGGGAAGGCTAGAAAATGCCTCAAGATCTCTTGAAGACATAGCACTTCACAACAAGAGTTGTATGTAAACTCAGTTCTATTTCCACATAACCCAAAGATATTGACCTTTCAGGATCCGTAGCTCAAAAAGAGAAAGAAAAGAGTCACCCATTTTACTTTGCATGTATTTCCATATCTGCCCCTCCCCCCACAAATTTGGAATTCCTTTCAGAAAAATGGTTCCCACTATAGTATATGTGCTACCTCCATTTTTTTCTTTGTCCTCTTACTCCTCCGTCCCTATGGTCACAAATCCACAACTGCAGATGGGAAGGACATAGCAGCAAATGGCAGGAGGCTGGAGAGAGGGTGGAGTGGAGGACAATCAAGGAAACTCGCTCTGGTGCCTCTTCCTTGGTGATTCCTGCCATGACACCAAATTGTAAACACCCGGGAACCCGTTCTCATTAACAGCCCGGTGACAGATATGAGAAAGATCACTCATCTGAAGCCATGGGAGCTTCCTTTCCTCCAAGAATGCCAGGCAGACAAGAAACACTCTGCTAGCAGACATTTTCAGAATATTCATTCACTTGAAAATCAGATCAGGGGAAGGTTGGGAGCATTCTCTGGGAATTCTGGGCAGCCTTTCAAGGAGAGGACTCTAAATGCAGTCATTGATGCAGTGATTAAGGAGAATAATTATATCTTCCCTTTATTCTTCCACAGAGAATTGCTAGAGGCCAAGAACCGATTAGCGCTAGCTAACAACCCGCTCTGCCCTCCGCAGTACCACATCCCCCACCCCCAAGGGCTCCCAAATGTAACAGGCATAATATTTTTCAGCTGAACTAATTCATGAAGCTATAAAAGTGGCAGCCCTGCTTGCCATTCACCATTTGGGATTTAAAAACTCAAGAATAGGAGATTAGACAGTGTCTTGGCTTTCTACACTGTTACTACAATTAAATACACAGCCCCAAGTGAATTAATCACCTTGGTGCTGGCTAAAATAATGCAAGAATCTAAGAGAGATTTTGAAAGATGTTTAGACTAATTTGGATAGACTACGAATTGCTAATGATTTTTATAGCTAGTACTTTCAGCTCCCTCCCTCAGCAAACACACACACACACACACACACACACACACAAACACACACACACACACACAGAGGCACATACACACAGTCCTTAATATAACACTACATGGGTCTCAGTTGTACTGAACTGATCTTGCAAAATGAATTTTTTTCTATCTATATATTCCAATACAGTTCAGGAGACAGGAAGACTGAAAGAAGGACAATTGATAGCCCTTTTCCAAAACTGAAGCCTCAGTATTTATTTTATCACAAGGTCTTGGATCCGAGTCCTCAAGAAGTATAAAGTCAGTTCTTGGATCAAGATATCAATGTGACAAAATGACTACAATTCATGTGAAAATGGTCACAAAATCCTTAAACTCTAGAAAACACATGGATGAACACATGGAGAAATCAGAACAGAAATTCTACATATTTCTAAGGAGCCCTTCTCAGAAAGTTGCAAGAGAGACAGAGTTAAAGAATCCTTCCCAAATTTATTAAGGCATAATTGACAAAAATGATATATATTTACAGTGTACTATGAGATGTTTTGATATATGCATACAGTGGGAGACAATTAATCAAGCTAATTGACATGTCTGTCACTTTATATATCAATTTTGTGGTGAGAATATTTAAGATCTACACAGTTAAAAATTTTCAAGTATACAGTATAATATTATTAGCTATGAATCACCCTGCTCTACAATGGGTCTCCAGAATTCATTCATCTGGCCTAACAAACCTCCTACCCTTTGACCCACATCTTCACATTTCCACTCCCACCCAGTCAAGTTAATTTATTTTCATTAAAAACAGAATGAAAGAAAAATTGTATTTAATCCTTAAGAGGAAAACATGCACAGATGCCCTAACTATGCAGAGGTGGCCTTACAATTACAGAACAGGACTAAGGGCACTGAATTCAATTAGCACAACTCTTTCAAGAGAAGAATGGAAAACCATATATACCGCAAACCATGCATGTGATAGTCCTAGGGATTATCGAGGGAAAAGAAATGAAAAACACCAAGTTCAACCAGAACTGTGATAGCCCTGGGTAATGATGGAGAACAAGATGTACTCGATGAAAACCCCAAATACAGCAGCAGGTGGAGAAGATGTTGACTTTATTTAGCATTAATTACAGGAAAGGGTCTATAAAATGTGGTCAAAAATTATTAAACCTCCAGTGTTATGCCAACATTATGCCATCTCCTGTTCCAAGGCAGGTGTATTATTCCTACTCTCTAGGATTAAAGTAAATCATTGCTTTTCCATGTATTCTGAATATTGCCTGTCATTATTTTTTACTACTCTGTTTCTCAAAGTTTTGTGACTTAATAGGCACTATAATGTGTACACTTATCCTGGGTTGCTTGTTGGGAGAAGGAATGTCAGAAAAGAAAACTGTCCATGCAACCTTCCCTTTCTAACATTAACATCCCTAGATGTCTTTACTCTACATTCAATTCTGAAATCTCTGGAGTCAAACGTATTTCCAGTGATGGCCACAAATAAATCTAGCTCATGCTACTCACTTGGGATAGTTCTATAGATTTAAAAGCTTATGTCAGTTTACTTCCTTATAGTTGTTTGGAAAAGCCCAAACTTGCTTACTGGATACCCAAAACTTTGTTCTAAACTACGCTAATTATTTGAAATGAAAGAGAACCTAGGTTCATCCAAAAATCTAAAAGGGATCAAAGTATACTTATTAAATCTCAATTTAATAACTTAATAAAGTTCAACATCCAAGTAGTGTGTAACACTTGACTGTCATTACCACCTATTAAAATATTCACAGAGTCATAGAAACTAGCAGACCTCATACAAGAGTTGAGAAAAATGAAATAATCAAAAGCATTCCCATGACTCATCTCACATGACCAAGGTGCCCCCTGCCCTGTTGGGCAGGAAACAACCTCACACTAGCCAGGCCCTCCCAGCCTCCTTCTTCCCAATAGGCCTTGACTTTGGAGGTGGCCATAACATTCAATCCTAAAGCCCTTTTGCACTCCCACCCTGAGCTTTCTGTATGGTTTTATCTTAAATTCTTAGAAAATAAAAAAAGGCATGCAGGCAGAGAATGATCCAAGGCAGTTCCCAGAATGTAAAATGGTAGGCAGAGGAAAGTGATTGGTCCCTGAGAATCCATGGTTTCGTATCTGTGAATTAAATCCACTGTGAATGAAACATATTCTAAAAAGTACTGTGCCTATGTGAAATATGTACAGGCTTTTCTTCTTGTCATTATTCCCTAAACAGAACCAGAAAAACTGTTTACATAACACTGATATGATATTGAATACTCTAAGTAATACAGAGATATTTAAAGTCTACCGGATGATGTGTGAGGCTGTATGCAATACTGAGACATTTTATACAAGGCACATGAACAGTTGTTGATTTCAATGTCCGTGGTATCCTATGAATACCAAGAGATGACTGTACAGAGACCAACCTCTGACGATAGCACAGTCAGGAGCACTGGGCGTGCAACTTGTTCACATGCCAGGGAGTCATACAGAAAATGGGAGAAGAGCAGCACACACCCTTACAATCTTACTGTTCAGTGTTTCCTACGGATATACTATGATACTATACCATTTATCTACCTGTCTACTTGATATATACAATAAAACCTTGATTGGAGAGCATAATTTGTCCTGGAAACATGCTTGTAATCCAAAGCACTTGTGTATCAAAGTGAATTTCCCCATAAGAAACAACGGAAACTCAGATGATTAGTTCCGCAACCCAAAAATATTCATGTAAAAAAGATTACAATACTGTAATATAATACAAAATAGTAAAGAAAATACAAAACATAAAGAAACATAAACAAATTAACCTGCTTACCTCTGAAAACCTTCATAGCTAGTTTCTTCAGAGGTAGGTAAGAGAAGGTTATTGTGTGGCAGGACTTTCACTATCGCTAAAGGAATCACTGCTATCTATTGGCTCATTGGAATCGCTTTTCTTCTTGTGCAAGTTTAACAAAGAATCTACCCAATGACACTTTCTTTTGCCTCCTTTTGAGGATTTTGTGGAAATGTGACATTACATTATTGTTAAACAGATCCATTACACACTGCTGCAGCCTTATTAGGGTGGAGCTTTTCTATAAAATTTTGCAGTTTCCCACATGAAGTGAGGAATTCCTCCACTTTTCTCTCCTCCCCCTATGCAGAGGAGATTCCTTCCACAACCTCTTCCTGTTGGGACATGATCATCCACAATCCCAGAGAGGGAAAGAGAGAGAGACAGAGATATAGACAGAGACAGACAGACAGACACAGAGAGAAGAACAATTGGTTCAGGTGTGATCAGGTGATACTCGGCATCACATACTATGCATATTGTAAGACATCGCTTGTTTATCAAGCTAAAATTTATTAGAAGTGTTTGCTCACCTTACAGAGCACTCACAGAACAAAATACTTGCAGTCCAAGGTTTTACTGAATTTACTTAGGTCCTCTTTGTATGTTTGTGTTTTACACATAACAAAAGAATACAATGATTTTTGCTTTTGTCCACAAATAACCAAATTTACCCCATTGATGGTGATGTCCCCTCACCACATTTGAGAATGTATGCATTGGTTCCTTAGTCTCTGGCAGTTAACATTTGGGTCCAAGTTGAAGTACTTCCCATATGGCAATGTTTCTCAGTCCTTGTACCACTGAAATCTGGGGTCAGACAATTCTTAATGTAACAATTGTCCTATGTCTTGCAGGATGTTTAGAAACATCCCTGGGCTCTGGATGCCAGGAACTCTCCTAGCTCCCATTTCCCACTGTAACAACCAAAACTACCTCCATACTTTGCCAAATGTTCTGGGGCTGAGCTGAGGGGGGACCACCAGCTAAAAAGTGCATTCTTAAGGATCAAGAATGCGGCAAAGAACAAGGGAAATCTTTCATAGCCTAAGTTTTGCTAGTAAAGAATCCCTTAATCTTAAGAGATCTCAGATGCTTTACCTCTCAGGGAAAATAAAAATAAGTGAAATAATACCCAAGATCCTCCATGGTTTCACCACTATAGCAAGTGACTTTGCAGTGCTTTTAATTCAACAAACCTGCTCTATTTAGGATGGCTTTTTTCCCCTTAAGTATTTTAACCAAAAATACATATGTAATTTTTAGAACAAATATTAAAAGTATACAAAAGCAAATGTTCTTTTAAAAAACAAATATGCTTTTTTTCCCCAAAAACATCAGCTTGTGAATATCTATCTTTACAGAGAAAACTATACAAACATGATTTCCTTGTAGCTTACAGAGCTGAGCAGTGTGGGG